CAGAGTATTTTTCTTTTATTTAGTTTTTGGGAAATTCTGAGAGGAGTAACTGCGCTGCCAGTAACTTACCTAGTGAGGGGTGTAACTTCCTGAGTGAGGTAAAATAAGATATCTGCTTGGTGTCAAAAGGTATGAGAAAACCCCATATTTTAGTCCAACTCTTAGACTTACTACTATAAGAACATAGAAAGCTAGTAAATAATGAAAAGGAAAAAATGAGCTGGTTCCCACACTCCTCCCTTTTAGATCTGCTACAATATCCAGACTTGGACATTTGTTATTAGTAGGTGTGTTCTGTAATATGCTTCTCTTAAACATTCTAGCATGAAGAATTATAAACATTTTCCAGATAAATTGAATGATTTTATTTTCAGGACAGAATATATTCAGAATATTTTGAGGACATAGCATACCTTATCTAAATAGTTTTTTTTTCTTCCTGGACAAAATTTATTTTTAATTCATGCTACTAAAATGTCACAGTAGGCAGATTTTTATATGCATTGATGATTCTGTCCTGGAAACAAATTTCTGTAAGTGAAACTGCTGCATCAGAGAGTTTGCGTGTTTTAAAAATACCTGAAAATGGCCTTGCAGAAAGGTCATGTCAACTGCAATGTCAACTGCAGGTCCTACTGGCAGCGATTCAGAGTGCTCCATTTTCCACACCTACGCCAAGATCATTATCGTCTGCTTTGAATTTGAACTTCAGAGCATCACAGATCTATGAAATACTGTAATAATAGGGACTTTTCCTAGAAGTAATTTTTCTTATCAGGATCAAGCCAGTGTGAACTATTGTGACATGTAACATGGTGTTATCCTGCTCAGACATGCTTCATGTCTTCTTTCAATTATACTTTTTAAATATAATTTGTGTAATAGTTATAACTGCGGGAGGTCAGTTATCTCTGGCCTTCAATGAAGTTTTATATTTACTGATGTTTGGAGACTGTGTCATATTTTAATTTATAACTTTTTGACAAAATAGTCACCATGACTTGTGACAGCTGTGTACTACATAAGTCAAAAGCAAAATTGTCTCAAATATAATTCCCTTAACTCCAATTCCCCCTGATATGACTACTCTTGCTGAAAATAAATAACATCCTTACTTTATAACACTTTTGGCAAAAAAAATCACCATGGCTTGTAGAGACAGTTTAGTAATCTTCTGACATAAAATATGTTTCAGTCATGGTGTCAACTTCATCACCACTTAATATGGTAACTGTTGCTGAAAATGAAGAGTTTTTATCATTTTTGTTTTTTGGATATCAAATCACAAAAAATTTGAAAAGTCCTTCTCTCAGGTATCCCATACTCTAGCTGCAGCAGAATATCCTCCCCCCTTTTTTACATAGTATGTGTTTTTATTTTTATAGCTTTGTAATTTGGCTCATATTACTTCCTCCATTTCTAATACTCTTTCATTTCTACCTGTCAACTCCTCATCCTTTAAAACTAATACTTGGTAGACATAGTATGTGGGGACTGATTCTATACACACCTTCTTGTAGAACTACCAAAATTCCTATTAGAGCTATATTGATTGCAGTCAGCGTGTTTGTATTTCCACATGCAGGTATCCAATCTAGCCAATCTGACTAGAGGCAAACCTCTGATCAAAACTGGGGCAATCAGAACCTTTGCCCAGAAATTCAAATAGAGTTTCTGAAAGGCTAAGCAGTTTGCTGAGCAGAGCTGAGTCTGACAGTCATTTATATTGGGGACAGAATTTATGCCACCATGACAAGCCATAGACCTTTGCAAATCACAGTAGAACAAAAGTCATTAGCAAGCTAATGAAATAGTCTGCAGAACGGTTTCCGTACTGATTTTCATGAGTGGTAGCATTACAGTCCATGTATCCTTTTCATTTTCTCTGGCTTAAATAGCTTCTCGCCCTTAAGAAGAAATTGGTTTAAATGCCACAGCTTCCCTGGAGCTTTTTGAAATCACCCACAGGCTGATTTCATTACTTTTTGATCTGTTGTTTTATGTGTGTTTGTGTGTGTGTATAAACAATATGTTTTTATAAAATATTTTATTGTCTAATAGTAAAGACCTAAATTGAGTACTACCTGTGAGCTAGACATCATGCTAAGTAGCATGATAGTGCATGTATTATTCTCACACCTACCCTCTAAGGTTCGTATTTCCTTTGTATTATCAATGACATTATATCTTTTGCTCAACATCATGTAGGTAAAAACTGTGGGAGCCACAGTGACACACCAGGCCCACCTGATTTCAGAGACTGTGCCTCTAACCACTGTACGAACCAACCCCTGGCACTCAAAGTGGTTTATCATTTTGCTAAGTGGTGAGCTGCTTGATGCTCAAATAGCTAACATAGTTTTAAGTGACTGCATGATTTTTAATGCCAGCATAGTGCATACTGCACATGACAGCTTCAATCAATATCTAAATTAATTGAATTAAGATTCCATAGCATTATACAGATTACAGTCTCAGATGATTGATATGATTGACTATTTCTAAGCAGTTGTCATTAGGACAAACACATAAAGGCCCATGTATATACACACTTATACAAGCAGCAGATTCATGAATTATGCAGATTGTTTTCTGCTTTTCGGTACAATACTCAGAGCGATATTTTAGAAAGCATGAAAACTGTAATCCCAAACTCAGGGGAACACATTTTATAGACCCGACGGCAGCCCTGCCCATTTTTCTTTCAGACTCTGAAAGCAGGTTGGTAGCATGATAAAGCTAGGTGATTTATACAGTTTAAAAATGAAGGAAAATTGAATGATTTCACCTGAAATTTCCGTAAGGGGCAATGCATGCTAATTTGACTATGCAGGTAGAAATACTAAATCTGATACAATATAACAGTATAATTGTTACTAATTCCATGATTGAATTGGTATAATTTGATTTACCATGGGAAAAATTCATAGTGTTTTGATATGAATAACCATACTTAGGCAGTATATCTGCTTTTTTTTTTAAACAATGTATCTCCATCCTCATTTTTATCAATAGGTTTCAGGTTAAACAAAATTTGAAATACATAAATTTTCCAATCTTCTAGCAAAACAAGAAAAAGGATTGGAGGAATGACTTGTTCGTGAATTTATTTAATAATTTGTTTTAAGATTTTATTTATTTATCTTTAGAGGGGAAGGGAAGGAGAGAGGGAGAGAAAGATCAATGTATGGTTGCCTCTCATGAGTCCCCTGCTGGAAACTGGCCTGCAACCCAGGCATGTGCCCTGACTGGGAATTGAACCGCAATCCTTTGGTTCGCAGGCCCGCGCTCAATACACTGAGCTACACCAGCCAGATCTAATAATTATTTTTAAATCAAAAGAATCAGAGAAAGTCTACATTTACCTGAATGCCAGAGATTACTGTTTACTGTGAAATGGTTAGGATAAGCCTGTATTTCCCTGTTCTTCCTTTGATATAGTTGAGTAAGAGTTTAGTCATCACTAGAAGTGACAGATAAGTAGGCCCCTTGACAGTTTGCCGATGCCACTCCTTATGAGTAGCTGCAGAAAGCATGCTTTCTGATTTTTGAATTTTGCTTCGGAAGTCAGTCATTATCTTATCCTCTAAGTACACTGGCACAAGAACAGCAACATAAAAATTCAGTAGTCATGGCACGATATCTGTTATAGCAAAAATGCTGGAAACAATTTCAATGTCTCTCAATAATCACTTTTAAGTAAAGTATGGTATAGCTATTCCAACACACTGTACTCTTAAAGTAACCAGTTAAAGGCAGCCATTTAAAAAGAATGAGGCACCTCGCTATATATATATTATATAGAATGTGACCCACAAGACACATAGTTAAAAAGAGAAAAAAAAAGGGAGGGTGCAGGGCAGCATGAAATTTGATCTAATAGCTTGTGAATGAACGAATTCCCAGGGGCAGGTGTTTCATTCCTATAAATTGTTTAAAACTCAAATCATACACATATTTTAGGCAACCGCTCTCTAAAATGTTTGGAGATTCCTTAAATGATTCTTTTGAATCTGTGTTCTATCTGACTTCCATCTCCCAGCCTCCATAACTAGCTAAGTGAATCAAGTATCTATAGTTTTCTTAAAAGTCTCTTTTCACCCTTAGGAGTGTGCAGAATTGAATTTCTTTTTTATCTCTCCCTGACATCACAGTTGGACAAGAAGAAGAGGTGTCCCTCCTTGCTTGGTTTCTCATTCTTCCATCCCTGCCATGGGAAGGGAAGTAAAAAGGCCTAGAACTCGGACTGGTGTGCTGAGCCTTGTAGAGATGGAGACTCTCCGGCCAAAGTCTGTTCCTGTAGAAAGGAAGGGATTCCCTAACCAAGCCCTTTAAATGTTCCCTCCTTTTGCCTCTCAGAGGCCTGCCTTTCTTCTTTTTGAAGAAAGCGTTTCCTGTTTCCTCTCCTCTATTGTGTTTTATTGGAGATGGCAGGCCTTAGAATTGGCCTTCCTGGCACTTCAGAAAAGAAGCACAGGCAGAACAAGAAAGTTTCTCTAGGGTAAGGAAGCTGAAACTTCCAGACAAAGGGAATGTAACAGCAGACATCCTGCCAGTCCCCTTCTCAGTGGAGAACCAACCTACACTCGTGGCCCATTGGCAGAGCCCCTTGAAATTGAAGCACTTCCAGGAATACTAAAACAACAAACATTCGGAGAGATCTGCCTTATTTAAGGAAACTTGTTGATCAGTCACTGTCCTTCTGAGCACCTGAAACCCAGCATTTTGTGGTTTCGATGTAGACTTCAGTACATTAGAGAATAAGTGTAAATTGAGACAGTTGCCCTTCCCTTCCCCAGTATTAACATTTGCCAATATCAAAGTTGGCCGGTAAAAGTGCAAAGCCAGTTGGAGTTCATTTCTGCGGGCTTTCCTTTTAACTATACACCCCCCTGCAGCCTTATTCTAATCAACAGAATACAGGTTAAGCAAAAATGGAAATATTCAACTCACCTAGCAAGAGATGAAAAGAAGATCATGAAAGAGGATTTGTGGTTTTTATTTAATAATTATTTTAAAATCAAAGTAATTAGAACTGGTCTTTCTGGCACGAACTAGTATTTAAGATACTTCAAATTCACTTAACTTGGTACAAAGCTTCATGTACTTGTTAACTGCATTTCTACATATACACATCCTCTTCCTGTTAACCATCAAGTCCTCTGAGCTGGTATGGCTTTTGTTAGAAATGTCCTTTGTTGCCCAGTGGTTATTAACCATTTGGGTAGATATTATTAATTTATTGGAAACTATTTTTGAAAGTAGTAATGTAAGAATCAATCTTATACACCATCATTATTTGAGGTTGTCCATGAAGAATATATTTACCTTTAAAATTACTAAAAATTAATTAATATTGCTTTACATTAAGATAATCTGTCTCTAATCATCTTTCAACATGTCACATTTCTGTCCCTGTACAACACACACAGACACATGCCCTTAAGGTCACAATGTCAAAATTTACCTATGCTTGTAACATTTCATGGTATTAAGTGTAAAATTTTATTTCAAGGGCTACCTCATTGTGCGCGTGTGTGGCACTGAGAGAGGACATTTCAGAAAATAATCTAGTATTTTTATGCTAAATTTTAAATATCTATCATTTGTCATTCCAAAAGCTCCTTGCGGTCTAGATTCTAGAATTAAAAGGGGAACGGGTTGTGCATTTTGGAAGTATAAGCTAAAATTATTTATTACAGTCTAATATAGAATATTTATCAGAGTCAAGGTAACAATCAGTGTGTACAAAAATTTACATAACAAGAGGAACAACAGACAATGCAGCACCTTTAGAAAAAAAATAAAAGTTTCGTTGCATTTACAGGTAAGTGCCACACTGAGAATTTACAACACAGTAATTTACTGCAATCGATGACAGGAGAGTTCCATAAAGAAACAAAGCTCTTACACTCCGATTTTCAGAAGGTATTATTGGAATGCTTAACCGTAACCACAGACTTTGTACATCCTTAAGGACTGAGCTGGCAAAAGTCACAAAAGGTTCTCATAGCATATATTATATAAAGGAGTCCAGTGTGTTTGGACAGCTGGCTTAGTGTCTCTGACAGGTGTGAAGCCTAGAGGAGTTACTGGCTTGATGGTGATCTTTCTGTATCCGGCAAGACAGACCTTCTCCGCAGTAACAGCGCTGGAAGATCTCCAGCCCGTGAGAGCCTTTTCTCCTGTGCTTGGTGCACACTTGACCTTCTTTGAGGACAGGTTTACAGATTTTAGACCAGAAGTGTCTAGCACAACACAAGCCTGTAGCACAATCTGATGATCGGAGACAGACAGAACCTTCTTGTCCTAGGGGAGGAAAAAAGAGACAATAAGAACATTGTCACCGCTAAACCTGCATTATTTCATTAAGATCATCCAAAAGTCACTTCTTCTGTACTAACAAAAAAAGAATGAGTCTTCGGGTCCCTGAGCCTACCTTTGGTATGATAAATTTTTGAAGACAGTGTAGTTCTTCGGGAGTACCCATCCAGGGTGCTGTGATCATTACCGAAGCTTTCAACGACGGTTTCCTCAATTTCCCCTCGATGGAAATGGCTGTGTTCGGAAGGCATACATATTCCTGAGGAAGCAGGAGATGGTGATTAACTCCCGTACTGTAATGTGTTACTACTTAGAGCTGTGACAGTGGCAGTCAGTTATGCCTGCACCAACTTCAGAGAGCTCATTACAGCGACATGATTTTCAACCCAAGCCAAACTTCCTCCTTAGTGTTTGTGCAAAACTCCCCAGATAAACAGAAGTATCACTGTGTACTCTATGCAGTCATATGTAACATACTCAGTATTGGCCATTTAAAATACTGTTTTACCAACTCGGTAACAACAGTGATATTTCTGCCCATTTTAATATCACCCATGGAGTAAAAAGAAAATCAGTCACTTAAAAAACTTTTTAAAAATAACTTCTCTGCCCTTTGTGCTATACGAGTACAGTCAGACTAAGTTATGCAAATGCAATACCATCTCCCTGGAAGATTGCAATCTCACCCACGAGTTACTTTACTGTGTAATTTCTACATCATGAAGATCTAGTTAGTTCATCCCGGAGTATTACTGGGTCCGAAGGAGGATTGCTACCCTTACGTTTATTTCTGGAGTCTTCTTTGGCTGCCTGAGTCTACCTTTTGGAAACATTAAATTTTAGTGGATCTGTGGTTGTATGGAGGAGTACTTATTTTAAGGTAGCAGGAGGAAGAAGTAGGGGAAAGGATGGAGAAGCCAGGATGGAGGATAGCAAGATCGCCCTTAAGAATGGCCAGCACAGATAAATCGCTGTCTTCTGGCTGACCAGAGTTTCAACGGGGATCATGAGGGACAGGCCAGACTGGCAGAGCCGTGAGAGGCACTGTAAGAAAAATGGACAGGGCAGGTAAATGTCAGTGGTGCTTGCCTTGGATTTCTTGTATCATCCCGCCTCCATCCCCATCTTCTTTCTCAAATGACATCAAGGCCGTCCCAGACCAATTTTTACGGAGGCATCCACTCTGAGATAAGCCATCATGTTAAATCATGGAGGGGCACAGAGGAAAATAAACAGTTCCAAAACCTCTGTACTTTTCTCTCCTCTGAGATAAGCATGTTAATAAGACGGTTTAACAGAAGCGAACCTTGCAGACTGAATACCCATTTGCAGGTGGCGTTGCAGCATTCTCAGAGCAGACAACGTCGTTTTTGTTTCCCAGCCGTAGGCGAGCAAAGGGGTGCCAGTGCGAGTCCAAAGGGAGCTAAAGAACTCACCGTTTTTGCAGTAATTGCCTGGGCAGCACATAGCATGACGCATGCAGCGTTTTCGGCGCTTCCTGCAGGCCAGGCATATCTGCGCGCCGGTGCCCCCGCTGCGGGCGGGACTCGCGCAGTACTCATCAGTGCTGCACTCCTCATCCTCCGCGCATGGATACGGCTGCGGGAAGGGGGCCGGAAGAGGATGAGGCACCTAGGCACCCAGGTACCCACATTCTTGGACCTGGATGCTCATCACAGTCCTTTTCTGCCCACCTGACTAAAAGTTATTGCTGCCCACTGCTCCCAAATGCAGTTTCCAAATTCTCCCTGAACGCATATACTCAGCACGTTCTGTATATGCGTTCTCAACCCTTCTGCCCAGATGACACACACCTCTTCAGGGTCACAGCGTTCCCAGGTTCCCAAGACCCTTCTCACCTGGTAGTTGTCAATGGTCTGGTACTTGTTGCCTCCATCATATAGAATTCCGGGAGCGACGCTGACTGGTGAGCCTGGGTGCCCGGCAGCGCCGCCCAGTGGTGGGGGCAGGTTCTTGATGGCGTTGGAATTGAGAACGGAGTTCAAGGTGGCGCTCACTCCCAGTAGAGGGTGGCTGCAAAGAGCTGCGGCTACCAGGGCAACCAAGACCCGGGCAGCACCCACTGCGCCCAGGGCCCTCATCTCAGAACGAGAGAGTGAGAGGGACAGAGAGAGAGAAAGGAGTAATATTACTTTGCGAGCCTAGTTCCCAGGAAGCCGTGCTGGTGCGGCTGCAGATCAGGCTCCGGGAGTCTCCAGCTGTCCCAGTCCGGACTGCGGGGCGCAGGGAGCTCTGCGCCACCGCCACCACGGCTGCCTTTATAGCGGGCTCTGAGCATTCCGGCCCCTCCGGGGGAGACAACAAAGCCAGGATGGGATTTCAAAGCCTTGGGAGGGGCTGGGAGGGGGTGTGTTTGTGTACAAGAAGGGGGGCCTTTGACACTCTTCACCCCGCCCCTTGCTCAGTAGTTCTGGACCAGCTCACCTTCGGGGTGATTGTAATCAGTGAGCATTAGAGCAGACTACTTTAATAAATGCAGGAGGGAGGAGGAGCTTCGGGAACTCGGGCGCCCTTGCTTTGCAGTAGAGGTTGGGTTATCGCAATCTGAAGTACTTTTCAGAACTGGAATAGTGATGCTCTCTGCAAAAGCACTTTTCTCCTCTCTCCCTTATGCCAATACTGGTTAATTTTGCATAGAAATAACATTCAGTAGTAAATACAGTCTGATCAGTAATTCAAAGTCTCAATCAAAACATCTCAGCTAGAAGGCCCAGGTGGCCAGTGCAAATTGCTGATTAACCCTTTAGAGTCACGGTTTGTAGATTTGGGGTGAGTTCCTTGGCTTTGAGTTCATTGAACTCCTTCCCCTTTCCTTGTTTTCCGCTCCCCTTCCCCACCCTGTGCGCCACAGCTAGGAAAAAAATGTGCAAATAGAAGGGAATTTGCATATCAAACGATGGCTTAAATGGAAGAAGTAATTCTCTTTTGATGGGAAGTTTAGAGCAGGAGGCGAGAGACTGGCGTTTGGAAATTAGATCATGGGTGGAGGGAAGAGGGAAATGGCCATCCGATAATCAAACTATTTAACGTAGTTCTTTGAATCTGAGCAGTCTCGGCAGTAGATGAACTTGATTAGGCAGGCAGGCGAGATCAAAGTGGCCGGAGTAAAAGCGGACAGGGTCCATCAGCCGGGTCAGTCCTCCTTCCCTGGTTTCCCCTTCTCAGTGGCGGCTTAGTGCAGGGAGATAAGACATCCTTGCAGTTTAGAGCCTGACTTCCTCATTAGCATTTCATATCACAAAGCTGGAGAACTCCGCTGTTTGATCCCGAGTCAGACTCTTCCTGGACCAGGAATTACCGCTTCTAGGGAGATAAGAAGAGACGAGCTTCCGGAAAAAGGGAGGCTAAAAGCGAACCAGAAAGAGAATTTGATGTCATTTAAATCAGTAGGTAAAAATAATGAAGTAGGGCTAGTGTGTACTGTCCTGCTTATAAACTGGACATGATTGATTTTTAAAACAATAAATTTCTCCACTACTAGTATGCTCATCCAGCTCTTATTTTTATATTCCAGGAAGTTATTTCACTCTCATTATTTAAAAACAACAATAACAAAAATAAAAATCTTTGAACATCTTGTCCAATTAGAAAATTTTAATGTTTTCCATTTATCGTTGTAAAAACCATGGACAAATTAATGTTTTTTTCATGTGGCTGTTATACATAGGGCAATATGTCTTTAAGAAGGGGTAAAGTACTCTAAAAGAAATTAATTCTAGATAGTTTTCCCTTCAAGTAAAGCCTCTTGGTGTTAAGGGGGGAGGCAACAACCAGGAGGGGAGGACGAGGCTTTATCCCTGACATTGGGCTCTGCCTCGGGCTGTTGCCCTTTACGGGGAGGGGCACAGCAAACACAAATATTATGACGCTGCTAATTACAGGAATAATAAAAGATAGGAAATGTACACAATTCTTTTTAAAACAGGTTGGTAAGGGCCAGAAAATGGATAACTGCTATGCAAGTTTAGAAAAGAAAGATGACCGGGTAATCACTATTGTGTATGTTTCTTTTGTGCTCAAAGATATTTATAGCTACCCATTGACCTACTCTGTCTATGACTGGTGATATGACCGAGTCCAGCCAGTGATCGTGGTCAAGCAGAATGATCCTAAAGTTAAGAAGGGCAGGGTTAATTTTACCAAAATGTTTGTAATGGTCTCTGTTCTAGTTCCTTGGGTTTCAGAGGTCATACTGAGAACATCACCTAAACAACTTTTTAACAATGCCTCGATTTACACTGATCTCCTTCCCATCCCAAATTCCATTTGTCCTGTGAAATTTCCTCTGGTTTATGGATAACTCTCTTTGAAATTCTAATATGATTAAATCCCACAGATTTCTTTACATTTTATTACGAACATGTACAATGATCTAGATTTGGCTACTATTTTGGAAAAAGTTGTAAATTTGATACAAAAAGGAGGTTGTTTATGTTTGATTTTTAAAAAATGAGCCTAAGAAACAAATAAGTCAATAGACCTTTTATCGAGAGTCGGCAGTGAAACAGTTATTGCTGGGGCAGATATGGCTCTATTTGGAGTTGACCTGAAGTTTACGTAGATGGGAGGTGTTCTAGGATAAAGGCACAAGAAGTTTTAGATGATGTATTGTCATTTGCAGCATCTTAACAGTGTCAATAATCAATGTGTTGATCACCTTTGATGTGTTAGAATATCTACAGCCTGTGTTCAATTATTAAATGTTGAAAGGTGGAGAAAGAATTATCTGACTTTGGGAACTGTGAAATGTTTCTTTCTAGTCCCATTATCTTAAATGCATGCTTGTGCCACAGGAAAGATCAATCCCTTTTCTTCCTTTTGCAAGGTCTGGTACATGTTAATACATTTAACAAACTTAGTTCATGAAGAGCTTGGATTCACAAACAAAAACCTTGTTTAGGGCACAGGTGGCAAACACAAGTCATGAGGCCGAAATCCAGCCCTCTGCCTTGTTTTATCCGGCCCCACCCCTTGCTTCTACCTGGCCTCAGTGACGAGTTCTCACTTAACTGCTAAGGAGTAGTTACATGTATACAGTCCTAAAGTTACATTCAGTCCTTTGAAGGCAACCACAGGGCTGATGTGGCCCCCAGTGAAAATGAGTTCGACACCCCTGGTCTAGGGTCATTTAAAAAGTGGAACAATGTAACCAACATAAGGAAAACTTTAATAAAAGGAATGTTGCATAAATTCAATCTCAATTCCTGAATATGTATATCTGTGGGGGCTTAATATTCATTAAGCCTGGACAGAATCTGTTGTATTTAGTTACAGAAGCTAAACCAAGAGTAGGGTTTCAAGAATGGTCTTGCTCCTACCTCCTTCACTTTCCAAGTTGCTCCCGCAGTTGTCAGGACTTGGAAGCTAACAAGTCATTAATTGGTCAATATCTGAGTTCCTACTGTGTGCTAAGCATCGGACTTGGCATGTATGACAAAAGATGAGGACTCTATTATCTTCAAATAAATGAGTTGGGGAGGGACGCTCAAACATTATATAGGAGAGAAGTTAAGTAGGAGGGAGCCAGGCAAGTATGTAACAAGCCAACTCTTAGCTCTAAGTGGAAAAAGTTATTGTTTCAGTGGCATCTCCATCTGAAAATCTTCTCTAGGATTGAGTTTGCTCACTGGCAACAAAAAAGCAGAGTGGGTTAGGAGGTCAAGTAAACTTCATCAGCATCTAATTAAAATTTGGTGAGTGCCCATTACATGCAAAATGTTACCCTAGTACCTTTGGGTGTATAACCCTAAAATATTAAAGCCACGCTCCTTGTTCTTGGAAAGCTTTCAATCTGTGAGTAGTTGAGGAAACAAATATACTTACATAAGAATGGGGGTTAAAATTTTTCTGACACATATTTTGGCACATATTAGGTCATGGGGAAGAGAGAACAAGGTTCAGGAATTGTGGCCAACAAACTGGGGAACAGGATACCCGCGACTTTCTGAGTCTCTTCTACCACTAAGTGATGGTGGTGGCCGGTATGGGAACAGGTGTCTTTAATTTACTATACCTACTTTATTCTGTAGTGAGCCCTGGCTCCTATTTGATTTGATTTTAATATAATTACATATGGTTTAAGTATCATGAATGCAAAAAGTTTAATATTTTGGATGAAATTTTAAAATAGGTGAGATATGTGTATCAAAGTGGAATCAAACCCCATCACTCAGGAATAGCATAAGAATACATGCCTTTGTCACATTGTAAGTGCTGTATGCCAGGCACAGAATACTCATCAACCTCTTCGTCTGTGAGGAAGACAGACAGACAGACAAATACGTTCCCCCCCAAACACTGTGGCATTTGCAAACTCTTTGTCCAGTTTTGTTATTTGAGATTCTTGTGTGGCTGCTCCATTTTCATTCATTCCTCCCCTTCTTTCCTCCTTCCTTTTCTCCTGCCCCCTCTCTCTTTCCTCCTCCTCTCATTCTTCTCTGTGCAAAATCAGAGGAAGCAGATCTGTTGCCATTTCATTTTACTTCACTGGGAAAACATTGCATGAATGTCATTCCTCATGGTGAGTGTTGTCAACATTTTTGTTGGTACCAGCCTTGAATTTATAGTAGGGATTCCTTGTTTCTGAGTTTAGTTTAAAAAATATTATGACTTTCTCTTTGCCCTTTAAAAGATTTTGGTCTTAATGCTCTCCATTATGTTAAAAGAGCTTTTAGACCAGTGCCCTGTTACGACTCCCAAGAGGCTGGCTCGGGCTTTCCTGCCCTCCTCAGTGCACAGAGAAGGCGAGATCTGACGATGATTGTGTTTACCTGGTCAGTGGAGACGGCCGGCCCAGATAAATCAGGCTCCACGGTAGCTGTCTAATCCAGCTCAGAAGATGTGTTCTAAAGGCCTGGAATATAAAAACTAATTTGAACATAGAGCCCAGGCCCAGAAGCTTTCGACTAAAAAAACCAGACAGGACCTTTCCTGATGTGCTGGCACTCAGAAAGGTCCACAGTGTGTAGTTACAGCGAGTGCAAAAGAGCCAGCCCCCTTTACCAGCCCCCTAAATAATTTCACTTTTCTGACTATGAAAATTAGCCAATGACAACAGAAAGCAGGATGCAAGATCCTCTTGAAATACTCTCAAAATCTAGGGCAAAATCGTTTTTCTCCATGTTACTGAGTTCCTTTATGATGCATGGGCTCACCAAGGGTCATGGCCAGGTCGGGTATTGGACCATGGTGTCCAGCCTGGGGCTGGGACTCTGCGCTGGGGTCTTCTAGTATGGCAGCTGCTAGCTGGCTGCCAAATTGGG